AAACCAAAGAAACCAACGTCTTTCCGCAAGTTGAGAAATTTTAATGGAATATTTTTTTTGTTTTAGGTCAAAACCTTTTAATATGTATATCCATTTAAAAATACAATTCTCAGTGTATTTTACTGAAAAACGTTGATCAAAGGCCCACATAAAAAAGTAAATTTGCTGTTCCGATGTCGACACTATACAGCTTTAGAACTCACTTAACTTTGGAGACCATTTTCTATACTTATTTTACCTGACACCAAGCAACCTACACCTCAATTAATCAAAAATATCTTGACTTCTATTCAAGATGGATTCTTTTTTCATCAAAAGCAATGTAAATGAACAACCCTTAATTTTTTTTCGGCCTCAATATATTCTGCCACTATAAAAGTCAAGTTTTTTCCTGAACAACCTTTAATCCTTTGAACCTTGACCTCTTCATGCTACCAAGCCCCTCTGCCTGAGCTCCTTAATGATATATATATTACTAACATTCATAAGATTGTCAGAATCACATTCCCTATCCCACTCATGGTAGTCCTCATCATTACCAGCATCTAATTCAGAAATATCTTCAAAATAATCAGAAACGTTCTGTGTAGTTAACACGGTTTCTTGCTTGCCATTTGTACTGCGAGGGTCGGTTTGGGGATAGGGTCTCGCTCACCGCTGTACTGGTGGCTATAGGCATGAGGAAGGTGAGACAGAAGAGGAAATTTAGGAAGAGAAAGAGGATCAGGAGAAAGAGTGGGAGGCCCTGAAGACAATGGATGAGAAGGAGAGAAAATAGGCAATGACAATAAATTAAAGGTAGAACTTAATTCCTGTTTTTCTGTGTGTCTTACAAATAAATGAACAATTTTATATTCACATTGCAGCTTATCTTATTATCTTACAAAGAGAAAAGCAAATTCATATTGCCATCCACAGCCTCAATTCAGCAAAGTATGAAAACACTTCAAAATGAGATATGATATCGGGAACAAAAACAATTCTCCTTTCAACCGAGTAAAGTCTTTGAGAAAACAAACACATCAATTTTACCCCCAATTACAGAAAGAACTATATAAGACAAGTGGCTTTCTTCCAGCGACACCCAAAAGGGTATAAGTGGCGGATAAAAGTAAAAGTAAAGTAAAAGTATTGAATAATATTTGTTATTTTGAACATTTCAATATGCAACACATAGGGTTTCATCAGATTTAGATATTTCTTTGTAAACTTTTTGTGAGACCTCCCGTGAGGTCACGAAACAATCACAAATTATTTGCGTCCTGAATCAAAATTATCAGCTAAGCCATTTTGTTGATATTTTACACCCCCTTCAACATAATTTACATCATTTTGGAGGCGAGCTTCTACAACCCTTCCCCTGTTTGGGCCATCCCTAGCTGAGAAGTGTAGCCTACAACATCCCTGCAGACACACAGAGATACTCGATATAAAGAGCATGCTGACAAAATGTGCAACTTCTCGAATTCAAGCCTTAAGGAAATAGATAGGCCTAAATCACGCTTATAGGAGAAGTTTTTGCAATTTATAACTATGAATTAATAAAAGACAGGTTACAGTTAAAGAACATGACATCAAAAGAAAATCTACAAATTTGATATTAATGTCGATTTTTTGCCGATATCTCCATTTGTAGATTGTGGTTAAGTAACTCATTTTGTCAGCACAAACCTCCCCACAAACGAATCGAACACAATAAACTAAGACACCCCATGCTTGGATATTAGATAAACCTAATAAAGTAAGAAAACAAAACCTTTGACATTATTAGGATAAGTTGTAAAAGTACCTGCTCCTCTTTTTTTGCGATACCCATAAGACTCTCCTCCATCTCCAACATTGTTGATGACGTTGTAAGAAGGAGATCCATGCATAATGTTGTTATCGAAAACATTGTAGTCAGGATTGTTGGTTGGGTGCTTCTTGTTTCCCACAGGTATGTTCACAATAACTGCAGGCTGAAAATAAATGAACGCAGGTCAAAACATTTAACTCAGCAAAGACAGGATAGCAATGTCATAAGCTGCTCTTATCCATTGTGTTCACACATTAAGGGCTTCTTTGCATCAAACTTCAAATACCAAAACTCAAACATCAAACACTAAACTTCAAACATCAGACATCAAAATTCAAACGCCAAACCTTAAACATCGATCATCAAACTTTAACATCAAACTTCAAATATGAAACACTTAAATTTCAGACTGGGCTGAAGCACCAAAAAAGCACACAGTTAGTCAAGCTCATACCCCTCCCCCCCTCCCATTCCACTCTGACCACAAGGAACAAGGAATATAAAAAAGATACTGGCATACGTTTGTGTAATACTACTAAAGTTAAAATCAATTCAAGTGCTGTAGATAAACGTTCATATATGTTCCAACCGTCTGCATACAGCAAATAAAGATTGCGCAATATTTATTGCATAACACAACGGTAACAGTCACAGACCACTGAAGCATGAAATTACTACTTTCAAGGAAAACCATCAGTGAGTGTGGTAAAGCATGTCACGAAACAAAAAGACTCATTTTTCACCAAATATAGCATTTCATAATTTTTTATAAGAAAATTTGCACTCTATTTAAACGGGATGCAAGAGTTTTTCCAACCCACCTTTCCAGATTTAAATAAACATTCCATAAAAAAAATAATTTTGACTTAAATGATTTGTAGCAGTTACCATAACTATAGAAAAAGATAAGAGTAAAAAAACTATGTAACCTGAGAGTCCTCATTAGAAAAGGTCTGTACCTATCATATGTGATAGAGCGTTATATAAATGCAATCTAATATTATTATAATTATTATTGTAATTATTATTATAATTATTATTATTATTATTATTATTATTGTTGTTAATAATATTATGATCATTATAATTACCTGGCTAGGATCTACGTCAATTGGATCCGGAAAAGTGTCTGGGGAGGAAAATTATTAAAATATCTTGTAAAATTTCACAATCAAAGCATCAAAGAAGGTGTACAACATAGAAAATTACAATATAAAATTCTTTTCAAATTCTCAAAATGGTGAAATCAGGTGCTTGTCAAACTAATGAAATCAAAGAAAACAGCATTTTTCCGCCGGAATGGGATTTTTTTCAGAATTTTTGTTTTTTGTCTCAACACCTTTCAAGACCATATAAAAACAAATTTAGGTCTGGATTTTTTAAAAAAACGTTGATTAAAGGCAAAAACCAAAATAGATTTAAATTCCCTTTCAACAGTGTTTAGCTATAAAAGAGGTAAGGGTGGTGGTCAAAGCCTTCTCTTATCAATATAAACACCATCATGGAATCTTTAACATGTGCAACTTGCTCACGAGACCTCTAAAGTTTTTCATCCTTATCCGAGAAGTCTTGGAGTGGCTTAAATATAGCAGTAATAAAGAGCCAGGAGAAATGGTAGAAAGAGATAGGAGTAAAGGAGAGAGGAGCCAAGAGGAGGCTGGAGGTGGGAGAAAGTGGAAATGAAAGAACATGACTAAAAAGCAGGAAAGAATGTGAAAGGAGAACATTTTAGAGATTTCAATATTTTCATCACTGTCAGTTTCAAACCCCGGATCTTTTGAATAAAATACCATACCTCTCAACCACGAGAGCCCACCATAAGATTATTTTCCCCTCAACTTCAAAGAAATGCATTGAAAAATATACAGCATTACGGAGGCTTACTCAATTTAAGAATTTTCTTTCAACAGTCAGTACCTGAAAGTGGTTAATGATAAGTAAAATCTTAAGTACCTACCACAAATTTCAACATTCCTACTTTCATATAATTTTTCTGGCACCTACGGAGCACGCCCCCGCCTTCCTTTCCCCTTCCACCAGCCCCCCTTTTCTTACAGAGGATTATTTCTGACTCTTTATCTTGATGGTTCAGTTCAAGAAACCCGCATGCCACATTTTTCTAAAATAGACATTCTTTGCTTTTCTGAGGCCGCAGATCTTTCTCCATTACATATCTTTTCGATATGAGGATCAGACTGTAAATAATTTATTTACCATCCAATCCTGACATCGAAAAGATGGTCACAAAGAGTGATCTGTGGCCACGGGAAAGCAAAAAATCATTGGTATTAGCAAAAATGCGGTGTACGGATAGACGTGAAAATCTCAATGTGCTTACAAGGAGGATCTCCCCTTCCATCCTCGTGAGGAGCAGGGCAACACAGTCTCTCACAATACCCAGCCGTGCAGGGATAAGCTGGCACGACAGGCTGGCGATTTGACTGGGAGGAAGTCCCACCTGGGAAAAAGCAATCAGAGCCATAGTCATTTTACATACGCCACAATGTCAGCCATAGAGACACATAACAAACATTAAAAACGTATAACAATGACCGCCATCTGCAAACACAAAAATAACAGACATCTACAAACATAACAATTACAGATACTTACGTAAAAGGGACTTTAAAAAAAGATTTGTGTACATTTGATAAGGAGTTTAAAATGCTTTGCTGCAAAGAAAAGTGGCATATAATAAAACATTTTTAAACACCGAGAAATAGTTGGCAAAAGAGCAATTTTATTTCAAGAAATATTTTCATTCTCTATCAAAATTATTTCTATAAATTTCAACAGTTGGTAGAGCAGAAGCAGGAGGAGGAGGAGGAGGACAAAGAAGAGAAGGAAGAGAAGGAAGGGCATAGTAACTGGTAGAATATAAGAAGAGGAAGTAGTTTTTTTAGCTTTAATAAGAGTTTTATGGCACTTGCAACACAATAAGGTCGTATAAGTGCCGAAGATTAGAGGTGTTACAAGAGAGTTAGAACCATAAAAAAGAAGGAGGAGAGATCAGGATGATAGACGTTTGATAGGAAAGAAGAAGCAAACCACACCAGAACCCGTCAAACACCCACAGAGGAAGTAGACAAGGGATATACTGACCAGTGGTTATTGTTATTGAAGAAGTCACAGAACTCGGGGGTCGAGAGGTCGTCGAAGAAGAAACAAAACCTGGAGGTTGTGCTGTCGTGTGAGGAAACGGTGGCGAATGTGTCGCTGTTGATATGTTGAATGGTGCCGCTGTTGTGAACAGAGCTGTAGAGTTCCCTGGTCCACCGATAGGATTTTTATCATTGCTTTGTACAATTTTATTTGATTTTGAGCTGTCGTGACTTGGGAGTTTTTCAAAAATGTACAAAACAATGACTGTGATCAAACTGTGGAGGAGCAAAAATCTCTTGTGAGTTAAAGAAATGGAAAAGACTGCCTCAGAAATTGCAGTGCTTTAGTTTTTAGTATCAGTTTTAGTAAGAATTTTACGGCACTTGCAACACAAATAGGGCATATGAGGCAGTGTGGTGAAATCAGACGCTCATCAAAATAATGAAAGGGAAGAAACTGGCATTTTTCTGTAGGTTTGGGTATTTTTATCCAATTTTTGTTTTTTAGCTCAACATCTTCCATGTCAATTAAAGAACACATTTCTGTGTGGATTGTACTGCAAAACGTAAAGACATAAATAATATTAATTTTTTTGTTTCTAAGGACTCTCAAGCTAAGGAAATACCTAAATTTTGGCGGCCATTTTCTTGCTAACTGAGACCAGGCAATCCCCACATATTTCAATGGCAAATACTTCCATTTGTATTCAAAATAAATGGAAATATTTTCCTCAAAAGCATGACAAATGAAAATGCTTTAAGGTGATATCAATACCAATAACTCGACATGCCAAAAAAATTGACGAGCGCCTGATTCCACCACGTCGTGACACATATAACTTCTGGTCGTGACACATATAACTTCTGGTCGTGACACATATAACTTCTGGTCGTGACACATATAACTTCTGGTCGTGACACATATAACTTCTGGAGACTAAAGTTGTTATAAAAAAGTAACATACAGAAAGAAGAAAAAGCAGAGAGGAAAATGTTGGATGTTCGATTGGAATCGGGGAGAAAAACAACTCCCGAGCATCCCCCAACCCATCCACCCAACGGCAGTCAGCAGATCTAGAGTCACAATAAACTCAGATCAGAAGGGTAGTTCCAGTCCAACCTGCTCTCATGGCCACCTGTCCCAGACAACCAGTGCAAACAACCACTCCCCATTCCCCTCCATGTGTTTTTTAAATATTACAATGACACTGTCCAACATCCACCTGTCTATGACAATTAACCACTTTACTCCTTGAAAATGACAAGCTGTTTTGGACAATTTTGACTGTACTTTTTTTCCCCCCCGTTGCCTTTAACAGAGGCAAAAATGCTTTTAACCGTACAATCATTATGGAAGTTAATATAAGATTTCGGTGGTTCTTTTGAACTTTTCACTTCAGGATAAGCAATTACTGTAGCCTACTTTTTTGTCCTATAGGCCTATTGTTATTAACATAGACAAAAATGCTTGTACTATAATATAATTGTTATGGCAGTTAACACAAGATTTGGGTAACTATTTAAAACTTTTCACTTCAAGATAAGCAATTACTATAAGCTTTCCAAGAAGAATCTAGTCTCCAGTTGTGATTGTCTTGAGAAATATCAATTTCCTTCCACGGAAAGTGGCTGAAAAGAAGCTAGCAAAATCAGACCAGGTAGACCATGACTGAAATAAATCATTGCAAATAAAATGCACTTGATAAGTAATAACTTATCAAAATGACACAAGATATCTTAAAGAATAGTCAGAATTGCATCAGTAAACAAAGCTGCATTCTTTAAAAAATCAAACGTCACTCAAGGATATTGAAGGTTTGATTGAGTTGGAGTAAAGAAAAGCACATGGATATAGCTACAATCATAAATGGCGAAGAAAAATTAAGAAAGCCGATAAATTCACGAGAGGGAAAGAAAAGAGGTAGAATCCACCTGTGATGGTCTCAAATCACCAGTATAAAGAACGTTCCATGACATTGTAAGTCTTATAAACTTATATATTGTAAGTTGTCCTTTAAACAGATTTCTTTCCCCGTTGAACTATTCATGTATAGATAAAAACCATCTTATTTAACTCTTTATCCCTGGCAAGGCGCTCCCAGCAGCTCGCGGTTGGAACTGCTGTGCCAGAGAGCGGCTCGGACACATTTCTTTATGACAACTTTGACTTCAAATCACTTTTCGGCCATTACCGAAAACAGGTCTCTTTTATCGGGATTTCATTCATTAGATGAAGAACTATCGAAATAAGTTCCCTTGCTTTGATTTAATGACCTATTTAGTGACTTTTTCGTCATTTCTAGATTGAGTACCAACAAAGGGCCTCGGCATAAGTGAGTTTACCCCCCATGGAGATAAAGAGTTAACAAATGAACTACAACAAATGAAATTTGATGTAATTGAAAAAAAATCTGGCCAAAAATCTTACCATAATGCCAAAAAAAAGAAAATTAAAAGACCGGCTTTTGTTAATTTTTTGGCGAAGAATCTGCTCATCGTGACACATAATGAAGAGTTCTTGTTTTCCTTTTCACTGGGAGAAGACGAGTGATCCCCACGTCGACTCTTGGCCTCTCTCTTGTACTGTTCTCGTCGTGGGGATCTGCTTCTGTCTGATTCTGACGTGCTCACCCTCTTAGGGACTACACTACTGCAAAACACAAATACACCATTTGTCAGGTTTTGTTTGTTCAACCTTATCCTAACCTAAAATTAAACAGAAAAAAGAACAATTGGTATGAAGAAAGTGCAGTTCCTAAGACACGTAAGTCAATATAAAGGTTTTGAACATCGTGCTCTCACTGGAAAAATAGAAAGCAAAATGGTAAATGCAGGTCGAGACTAATTTCTTTAAAGATTTAACACATGGGAGAAGGGAAAAGACTAGGTTAATGACAGATTTTTTAGGATCATCTGAAAAAAGAAATACAAGGCAAATCATGACTGTCAATGTCTGTTTTAGATATGGCACTTGAAAAAGAAAAATTAGAGGAGGAG